GCTGCTCACATTACCGTGTCCCGTCTGAAGATAAGTTACTCACCAGTTTGACTGCTTCCTGTGCTGCATCTTTACTACAAAAGGTAATGAAAGCGTAACCTCTGTTTTGACCAGAAAGAGGATCCATCATGAGGCGCAGATCCCAAATTGGTCCAGCCTTCTCAAAGAGTGGCACCAATTCATCTTCATACAAGTCTCGGGGAATCTTACCAACAAAAACCTAAAAAGGAAGAGGACACTTAAACACAGCCTTTTCAGAAATCCAAACTTACTTTTAAGAATTTGGAAATTCCTGAAAAAGGAAGTACACTACAACATAAACAGTGTGGCCATCACTGCAGTCAACGTTACTGTGTGTCCTACTAAGCCTTCTGAACTTCCTGCTGTTAGAACCATGTTTTACATACGGAAAACTTGGTTTTGTTATTTATATTGAAGAGGTTGTAAATTTCCACCACTGAAGAGGTAAATGGTTCTTACCTGGTTATAATTTGGCAATTAAAAACAAAGACCTTACAGACTATCTAGTTGGCTATCCTATATTAAAGCAGGCCAAGCACTTCCTTGTTCTTGCAGTATTTTCGAATTAGTCTGTACCTCTATCTTCATTAGAAAGCTACAGAGACAGAAAAAAAAAAAAAATTCTACAAAAGTCCTTAAAGTGCCCAATGCACACTTCCCACTTCTAATATACACTGTAATACCATTTCTAGTCTGTATTTGTTTCAGCTTCCACCAACTGAATGTTTTAATACTTGTCTGAGAAAATCTGAAGTCCTCACGTTTTTATTCCTTACATAGAGCAGTGACAATAAACTTTGATAAAGTTTTGTTAAGGAGTTTAATCTCTTCAGTTGAGGTCTACCCTCCTCCAAACTGTTTAATCAGAGCAGCTCTCCTCTGAATTCTCAAAATCTCTGAATTGCTAATACAAGCAACACATTCCGAACACTCATTAAGATCAAATTCTATTTATTTTAACTTCAAATATTTTTTGTGGAAAAAAAGCTAGGAGGAGTCAACCTTTTCCATCCAGGCAAGGCCTTGCCATAGTCAATCTGTCAGTGAAGTCTAAGCAGGTAACTCCAAAACTGAAGACACTCAGAACGCCCATGTTAACATTGATATTAAAAAACCCACGAGGAGAACGTGATGACCCCAATTTTAAAAATGTGGAACACAAATTATTATCCCCCAAAGGAAAGCTAGAACCTTTAGATGTTTTTTTACATTATCCAGATGTTCCTGAAATTCAGTTTCAGAATATTTCTTTCACTTAGCTTAGCCTTTCTCAGTTAGTTCAGTTTAATCCTGAAAGCTTCTGTTTCCTCCTTCCTTTCCAGTCTCTTCGGCTCACTCTCTACAAACCTTAGACCACCAACAATTGCATGAGACTGCTACTACACTTCAGTTCTGGTGATACTCTCTAGGAGTTAGTATGAGAAACAGAATTAAGGATTTAATTTGAATACATTCACAGCTGACCTATATTCTAGAGTAACTTCCATTTATAACAGAAGGACTAGATAACTCCGTGGGAGTAATTCACATCTAAGTGAATTTTCTTTGAGTCAGTAAACTTACTATGTTACTGAACTACAGGATGAATACTAGAGATAACAAACACCGGTGAACATCTTGCAAGGGTTAGATGAAACATCTGCAATGACTTTTTTTTTAGATATGTTGATAAGCTTGAAAAATGAAATACCAAAGAATGTAAATACCAGACATCTTGTTTCATTTGTTAGATCCACAACAAGAGCACTGTGATAAAACTCTGGAAACTGGCAGTGAAGTACCAGTGAAACTATCTAAGAGATCTTGTCGAAGCAAGATGCAACTGCATAACTTCTGGGCCTTTGCTGGAATCACTGAGCATTAGACTTACTTTTTCCAGTTCTGCTTCCTAAATGACCTCTACAAAGTACTCCATTTTACTTCTTCCTTATTTAGAAGGTTTTAGAGGATTAATTATGAAAAGTCTTAACTAGGAAAAAAAACTCAGTTTCAGTTTCCTGAACAACTTTGCAGAGCATTATTGAGGGGTGCAATCCACTTCTGCGCTCTACATGATGCGTCCCTTTAGTTATTTCAACAACCGAGCCTCTTCTGCTGCCATTGCAAGCAACAGAAGCACAATGCAGCACTGCAAGAGCTTCTTCAAAACCTCTCTCCTTTTAATAGTGTTCTTCATGTGCTTTGCAGTTAATTTTTCCTAAATGCTAACTACTGTAGGCTGCATCTCATCCAAATCTACAATCTCCGTTTAAAAAAAAAAAAAGTGCAAAAAAATTTATGGAACAGTGCACAAACCTTTGAGCCTCCACAGTTCTTCCATCTGGGTACTAAATCCAGCACAAGCTTTTTTTTTTAGTTCAACTCCTGCAGTTTATTGTACCATTGCTTCTTAAGTTAGTTATTGCAGTATCTGATTCTTCCCATTCAATTTATTATGGACAAAAGCAGTGAATTGCCTCAACATCTCCAGTAATAAACATTCTCCCGACTGCAAGTTAGCCTCACAGCCCTTTCTGACTTTTTCTTACAAATTCTGACCACGCACCCACAGAGGAGCAGATGCAACAACAAATTATCATTCACAGAGCCAAAAGTAATTCTGCATTAAGAATACCAGCATTGCTTGCATATACACTTTAGCAAAATTATAAACCATAATTAGCACAGAGCGAGTGCACTTAAGCAGAGCTTGATAAGCTACGCAAATCATCAGTTACTATCTTTCAGTTCAAGGACCCATTCTAATTATTCTCCCTCACCAAGGAATTTATTTTTCTTCATGCATATGAATATTCTCTTTAGAAATCCTTACTGTGATGATTCTAAGCATCTCCCTGATGGTATACATAAAAGCTTCAGCATTTCAAAAAAAAAAAAAAAAAATCTATAAAATTAAAAGCATTCTAGAAGTTGTCCATTTTCTTAAATCTAATCTAGTGGTTTATTAAAAAAACTCCAAAAGAACTCCTGTATCAAAGACTAGTCACAACAGTGTGACTGAGAGTATTCAAAGTGTTTACAATAAACTACAAAACAACCCACTAGGGACCAAAACCTTGCAGAATAGGTAAGCACAGCTCGAGTATTTTCATAACCAAACTGAAGTTTGCTCATAGCTTACTAGCAAGATGCACGGGTTCAGTCGTCACCCTGAATTTCACAGTGTGCTTACTGACTAGACTTTGTCATTTTGGAGGGGGGAAACAACCTTTAAAATGCTTCTGATCATCTTTAAGAACAGCTGGTGTAACAGGAAGTAAGAAAAAGCAGAAAAAAAAAAAGTGTTAGACATTTTAAGCAAAACAAAGGAGCACTGTACAAGGCCCTTGAGGATAAGCAGTTATCAGTGTTTGTAGATGCCAATGACAAAGCCAGTGTAAGGAAAGAAACACCCAAATAATTGTTTCCATTCTCATCCAATAAACACTCCCATAAACAGGTCTCCAAGTATCAACATCATGTGGCCTCACTATAAGCAAAATGCTTCACATTGTAGCAGCAAGTCCTTAAATAAAATGAATACTTGATTTAACAACAAATCCTATTTCAATTATTTTCTCCTCCAAGCTTCTGCACAGCTCTGACTACTTTGACTTTATTACAGAATCACATTCCAAAAAGGTCCAGCTGCTCTGAAAGCCCATCTACCTGGCCTCTATCTTCTTGAAATCAGTAACAGTACCTGGGTATCCCTAAAAACCAGATGTTTGCCATTACTGGCATCAGGGACAGCTCTGTCATCAACAGATCTGAGCTGGCACAAGCTATGAGAGCTTCAGTATTATTTAAGTAAGTTTCAAACACAGAAGATTAATTGCCACAATCCAAAGGGATACATCTTGTGGTTTTTTTCATATTTTTACTCACAATATTAGAAAAGGGGCATTTGCACGCCTATACAACCAGAACTATCGAGGACAAAAGAGAAGTGGTTCGCAAAAGCTTAAGGGGGAAAAAAAATAGAAAAAAAGAAAGGGGAGAAAAAAAACCACAAATAAAAAAAACCAAAACACCCACCTCATTCTGGGAAAAAAGTGCCACAATAATCTCCAGTCACCTCTGTTTAAACACGCTCTGCCTAGTCTACTAAATCATAATAACATGTTTAAGTTGTTGATTACTATGTCTCAGAGTTCAACAGCAAGAGCTAAAGACTAAATTTAACAAAGCATACACTAGTTTCAGCAAGGTGTTCAGCATCCAGCCAGTCAAACCAAGCAGCACGTCTAAAGCAGTAATTGGGTCTTTAAATCCTAGAAGATGTCAGCAATAAATTAACTTGTAGAGGTATGGTTTCCACAACTAGTTGGCTAAGTTTTGCTACAGCCTCTAATGCTGGTTCACGGGAGAAGCATTTATGTTCTCATCTTAAAGGAGTTTCCACAAGTTATCCATTCGAGCAAGCTTCAGAAAACTTAAAAGTATAAAACCATACCCTTAAAGAGTATGAAAGCACAGCCAACTTTAATGGCTTTCCTGTGACTTCCTAAAGAGGCTAACTATCACCGACAGGACAAAATAGTTAAGATCAGTCAAGTATTTTCAGTCATCAATAGAACAGAGCAGTTCAGTTGGAAGTGATCTACAACAACCATCTAGTCCAACTGCCTGACCAGTTCAGAGCTCACCCAAAGTTAAACCATATTATTAAAAGCCTTGTCCAAATGACAGGCTGGGGGCATGGACCACCTCTCCAGGAAGCCTGTTCCAGTGTTTGACCACCCTCTCTGTAAACGTGTCATAATGTCAATGAGGAATAGTGCAATTAAATAACACTTTATACAATCACATAATCACCCTGGCAACACCAGGGTGTTTGCCTGGTTACCAGTCAGTACCAACACCACTGACTTGGTAAACAACTTCTAAGCCACCTTTCTGAATGCAGAAATGCAAAAATTTACAAAAGGAAACAACCTACATGGACTCTTTTAGTGTGGTAGTTTCACCATCAGTCCATGCAAGCAACAAGAATGTTTTCATATGCTATACAGCTGAAAGGTGACCAATGAGGGTATTAAATGATGGACCACAGGCTTTAGAGTAGACCATGAAGTCTGGTAATTTAATGATCTATTTTATGTTTTAAGAAATTTCATACAGCATTTCCTAGTATACTCCTCGTCCTTTTCCCTCCTCAACCTATTAATCCTGTCTTTTGCAGTATACTGAGGAGTAAGAAAGACTAAGACACACAAACACAGAAGAATGCTTTCCTCTAAAATACTTTAAACTTTCACTTGTAATATAGTTTATTTTCAAGTATTTTTTATTTACCAGTTTGCACAAACATACAAAATAACAGACTAGTCTGCATACACTAACCTCTGTTCCAATGCCAGGCTGTACACCAGAATATACAGTATCTGGAGGAGGGCCCCCATATTTCCTCTGTCCTGTGGTTACATCCAAAGTGTAACCAGTCCTCTCTAGCAAAGCCTGAAAAAGAATTGCCACATTAGTAATGGGGGGGAAGAGGATAGTGGGTTAAAATATAAACAATAAAAAAGTGTCCTAAGATAAGCTTTTCCTGGTCTGCTCCTTGCCACATTTGATAACATGCACAGACAGAACCTACAGAAAAACCCTGTTATTGTGGGCACTTAAAAAACCACCACCACAAACAGTAACATTTGTTTTATACTACAGGGTCACTGGAAGAACTCGTTTTTCTCTTCCCTTATTTTCCATTTTATATGTAGTATCCCAAGAACTCCACAACACCAGGCAATTCTTTTCACCCACTCTGTACTAGTTTTTTGCAAACTGAAGAGTTTCTTAATATACTAGTACCTTGTTGAAACGTCCAATCAGTCTCAACATAATTTTATGAGTGCATAAAAGCTTTAATATAAAAGGACAACTATGACAATTGTTAAACAGATATCAATGTTTTCAAAGACCTTACATAACATGAAGTTCATGCATTTTGGCAATTGTGTAACCAGGAAGATGTGCATTTCAAACACTCTCTTTTCCATCTCTATCACGCATACATTTCTTTAAAGCCAAGTGTAACTATACTTATCCAGGTAATACTAATGCTTTTTAATACCCAAAATTACTTGAGTCTGCATACAGGTAATATATCAGGTAGCACAGAATAATCAATACTCTCTAAATGTTACCTTAATCTTTGCTTCATCTGGTCCCTTCGTTGATTCCTGTACTTTGCTGCCTTGTTTCTCTCTTTGCCTGTAGGTCTTCATAACTCCACATAAAAATGCACTTTTGTTCTGTAGATACAATTTACAAAATAATTCAATTGTGCATATGAAAAGCCCCAGGAATCCACTGAATCTTACACTCCATACCATGAGGTCACTATATCAAGCCAATGCAATAAACAAAATGCCAAAAGAATCCTCTAGAAAAATATAACAACTAATTGAACAAACTTGTCAGACTGAAAACATTGTCAGATTCCAGGTAGTATTTTTACCTTATTTTCTCAACAGCACGCTCATTTTTATTATCTGGCAGCTTCTGCTTTGCACTCAAATACCTACACATTTAAGGCAATTTTTAACAGGCTTGTGATTTGGGTTTGAAAAATTAGAATACAGCAACATCAATGAATTTCTAAGTTACAACTCCCCTGTCAATAGTGCCAGAACACTATTTATACTTAAGTGCTCACACTCCTGGAGCTCTCACCTTACCTGTACATGCGACAGGTCACTTTCTTTAAACTGCTGTAATACAGAGAGGGCTCCTTCTTCATTAAATTCCCTAAGAGCATCAATTGCTCTTTCATCAAGATCGACATAAGCTACCAACCCTAAAAGTTAAAGATAAAGAAGTTACAGATTTCTATTGAATTTCACACAAACTAAGAACTATGCAGTTTGCTTTTAAAGTCAAAAAGTTACATTCCATAGTAACAGAATTATACATTTAATATAACTACATATTCCTACACAAGTATATGAAAGAACATGAGTACAACAATGAAAAAAGTTAAATTAAAATGTATATACCTAAGCACTAACTGACGTGCAAGATTATACCCCATGTATAACAGTTTTCTAACATTCAGGAATCCAATCTGCTGCATAAAAAGCAGTATTACACACCAGAGTTTGAAACAGTGAACCCTGGCTCACTTGTAATAATTTGGCTTTTATTTGTTTGTCTTTCCTTTCACACTTCTTTCTCTCAAATGGAGCTGTTCTAGAGTAAGCTAACATGTGAACGTTACAGGTATTCTATTTTACATGAAAAAGGAGCTACCTAACTGATGATCAAATACTTATGAAGCTCTATGCCACAAAATATGAGGAAGTAGAATGGTTTGTTCACTCTTTCATCCAACTTCAAAAAGTAAAAATCAGTGGGCTTCCTGTATGTCTAAAACATTTTTTTAATTATTTTTTACTCATTTTGTTGCTCTATGCAGTTCAGGAGCCAGAATTCAAAAAGGTATTATTTCAAGCCCTGCTATGTACCCGAAAAGGCTAATGTTAACTTCACAGGTACAGACTCCCCCAAGAAACACTGGACCAGTTCTGAAGCACTTTTTCTATTTAAGGATCTTCACAGGTTATTTCTTCCCTTTCGTAATGCACTTGCATAAGCTGTGGAGCGTGAGAAGTACAGACTAAGATTTGCACTTTTTAAACTACACAGCGAAACTTAGCACAGATACCAAGAGCTCCATGCACTTTGCAACAGCTTGATCTCCAAAATTCACAGATTATTTCACTGCTACTTGATTTTAAAAATGCACAGTAGTGCCAAGCCCAAGGACTACATTTCAGAAGTGATCCTGCAATTGGAAGGCACCTGTAACTTTCATGTAAGACCTCATCAGATTAAAAATCCCAAAGTTCAACCCCAAATTTAGCTTGGGTGTCAAAAGCAGTTTGCTTCACTGACAAACCCCTGCACAATGCAAACATCTTCAGTGGCATTAAGGAAGTGTGAATAAACGTTTTCAGGTTACTCATGCAGTGGAATTACACTAGGTAGTCAGGTTCTGGGCTGAAAAGCTTTCAAATCCCTTGAGAACTCACAACACAACCTAACTGCAACACGTGTTAGAGCCCCACAAGTTCCTCTGCCCAGACATTTACACCTTCTCTCAAACCATCAAGTGCACATCATCGTGACCCACAGTTAGAAAGTGCATGTCTAAAGCCAATAAAAGCTGGTAAAGGCTTGACGAAAGCTCACTGTGAATGACTTCCAAAAAACATCATCCACGTGAGCCAGAGCATCATACTGGAGATTGGTAAGGTATTGGTTTTGAACTGCCTTCACTTGATCAGTGGAATTTTGAGTCTTTTCAACAAAAACTGTCATCTTGCCACCAAGGCATTCAAGGTCAGTGCATAGAGCATTTCTACTGCTTCTTGTAAATCTGTTCACAGAACACACTCTAAAAAGGAAAAGGAAGCCTCTGTCTATAGGTCAAAATAATAAGGGGGTTACAAAAACAAAATAGAAAAACTTTTGTATATATAGAAACCTCTCTAGTAGTTGCGGAGACCACTTGCTACCAGCAAGGTATTACTTGATTTGCTAGATAGCTTAGTCCTCAACTTTGCTGAAAAGTAGTTAGTGTCAAACTGAACATTTCGGTGTAATAACCAACATGGATTGAACTGTCCACTCAGAACTAGAGAGAACAAAAAATCCACAGGCAGACTCAATTCAAATGTAGTCCCAGGCAAGACAAGCTAGTTGCTTCCCTCACTAAGTCACCTATCCAGCCTTTGAGTGTTTAAGAACCACTGTGAGGAGTTGACAGTAGAAAAGTAAAAGCAAAATGATGATTCGGATTGAAGGAAAAAAAAAAATGTACAGTTTAGTATGCTCAAACATACATCTTTATTTGACAACGTCTAAGAAACTAGTGCTCTGTGCCCTAAAGCAACTAAGATATCACATACAACACTAAGGATGTGTCAAGTAATTAGTCAATGTCAAACCCAATTTGCCTTTAGGGAAGTCAAAGTAGCAAAACATTCAGAGCTACACAGATCAAAAACAATGAATTTTTAAACCTTAATCTATAAAAATTTGAAAATGGTATGCCCTCACTTTCATAACCAATCAGAAACAAGAAATGCATATTATACCTGTCTGAAATATTTCATCAAGTCTCTCTGCCACCTTCTGTGGGAGGCCTGCCTCTATCAGTGTCTTGTAGTGTTCTGTGTGAGTTACACTGGAAGTATCCATTGGTTCTTCCTCTTCTTTTAACTGTACCGCATTACCATTCACCTGATTAGCCATTTTATTATGCTGCTGGAAAAAATTCAGGAGCTATATTACAATAAGCCAGAAATAACTAGTTTGTAGGACAATGCATGATTTATCTAAACTAATTTGTATACATGCTGCAAATGACCTGTATCAAAAGTTTTATGTAATACTTTTTGGATGCAGCTGATCTAAGTTTCAAAAGAAAGTACAACCCTTAATACTGTGGAAAATGTACATGGAAGAACTTACATATTTTTTTAAAAAAATGTACTTCATGTACATAACGATGTCTAAACTTTATCTGCTGATTGTCAGTAAGTTAACTGGTTACCATAGCAGCTAGAATGTACTGGGACATGATAATAACATCCTTCAATGAAGAATCAGAAGAGCTAGTGCTATTTACATTTCCCATTCCTCTACTTTTAAAACAATCATTTAAAATTTTGTGAACACATAACCCTGCAGGGTAGTGTAATGTATAAAAATGCCAACACTTGTTTGCTAATTTTTACTTTCTTAGCTTGTTGCCATGTCTTCCTTCAAACCCAACATGCTTAAGAAAACTAGCCAAACGCTTTCTTACAACACTGTCAGAACTCAGTAAGGACAGAAAAATTGCACTCTAACGCACACTATAATTTGAAGCTGCAACAGAACCGTTTCCATTCTTTCAGTTTTACTCAAATATGAGGTCTACAAATCACAGCTACTTTTTTTATAATATATAACGTATTGGTTTAAAAGGAAGCCATGACCGCAGCATCTTCAGTTCTCATATTAATAAAAAACTTGCTTTAAGAATTAACAAACTGATTCCAAATATGTGCACTGATAAATGCACAACTATCTTCTCAGACAATTCCAGCGGGCTTTGCCCAATTCATTAAAAACAGTTACAATTTCTCAATTAGCCAGCCAGCTGCCATTTAGTACTCTCAAATAAAAAGGCTGACAAGAGACAATTCAACTACCCAGCAGAGAACATTAAGATGATCAGCTGTTAAGTTCAGAAACGAATGAGCCTCTGGCTTTAAAAGATAGGGAAGACGTTGATGATCAGCAGTGAAATGATAACCAGATAGACATAGGCAGCATGGTTGGAGCAATGCAATTAAGTACTGGAACACAGGTATGAAGATGATTCAAGAACAGGGGGGTTTTTTAAAAAAAAACCGCTGAAGCCTCAAGCTATTTACTATACTGCAAAATGAGTCTCCAAAGATCCCACACCTCTAACAGTCACTTATGTACTCGTCCCTGCTAGACTACAGCTCAGGATGTTTTTGGAAGATATCCTATGAAGATCTGCAAGCTTGAGCAAGGAAAAAAAATGATCATTTTTCTTCAGACAGAAAAGTAATGATTTTACTAAAGCTGTCTTGACTTGAAGGGAAATTTTAGAGAGATGTAACACCGCCTCACATTGTTTCTCTGTCAGATGCCACTTAGTTATGGAAATAGTCAGCAAAAGAAAGGAAGTTTTTTGTAGCTACATAGTGCATATATATATACACACACACTCCACTACTTGACAAAGAGAAATTGCTTTCTAACCAATTCAGTTTACTTAAAAAGCAACTGTGACTATCACCTAATTACATAAGAAACAAAATGCTACCTGAAGACTACAATAATGCTTAGCTATCGCTACAAGTATTAACTGAACGCTCAAAACACTAACTGAACATGAAATTTATTTAGGTTACAAAAATTCTAGGAAGCAAAAATTAGCTAGATGTTGGATTGCTACATAGCCTCTGCGAGATCTCAAATTTGAAACAGTGCAGGGTAGAGGATGATTAGTTAAACTGAAAATGCTTTGGGTACAGTATCATTCTAAATTCCTCTTCTCAAAAATGCGTAAGGTGATTACACACAAAAAAAAGATATATAGAGGGGTTTTTTGTTTTTACTGCCTTACATATATTGTCTTCTCTGTATGCAAAAATTACACCACTAAGAACTGTGAAGTTAAAGCCAATACGTGAACACAGAAAAGTTATTTGAAAAAATTACAAGTACCTTCTAAACTTCATTGGCTTATGGTGAGGCTCTTGGACATTATTTTTTGTTAACCCAGATTAGCTTTCAAATGTCACACACCCAGAAGACTGGCACCACTCTCCATGTTGCCTATAACTGAACCCAAGGTTGACAGCTATTGTGTCCAGGTAGAAACACCTCATCTGCAGCTCAATAACCCAAACTTCTGACAGGCAACATCTGCAGCCTGACAGCATGAAAAGGCATCTGCTTTTACCACAAACATACACCAGTGTGTGGAGCAACATCTAACCCCTAAGTATCTGATTACTACACAGCACCACAGCTGATCAAATGCGGTTTTCAGTAGGCTTTTGGACAATGCAAGCTAAGGCTCCGCATTTTAATTCACTAGCTGTATGGTTTATTTCTGCTTAAGAATTCTTATCCTCATAAAGAAGTGAAGTCAAATGCAGTGCACACTCACCAGGCAGAAAAGTTCAGTTTGGGTGTTCAAATTCTAGCTACTTCCTGTCACACAAACTTAAAATACTTTCTTGAAGAAATTTACTCTGGAAAGTTTTTATGGGACATAGCTGTCAAAATATTCAGGTCTCAACAGCATCCAGAAGAAATACATTTCTTGTCACAGTTATAGTAGATTCCCTGAAATCTGATATTAGAATGACTTTTCTTCCTGAATGATCACCAACAAGTAAAATCACATCTCTTACGATACTGAATCTGCACTCCGAGTCAGCAGAGATATGTGAGTGAAAGTCACAGCTGAGTACGATTGTTTAGCTCTCCCTCCAGATAACATCAGCTAGATGTAGCTATCAAGAAAAATATTTTTAACTTAATTTTATCAGTAAGGAAAACACACAATGGTTTCATTATCATTTTCTTCTCTTAAAAAATAATGTTAAAAGCATATTAGAGAAAGGGGAGTGATATCTATGTCTGCATGCGCAGTTTGTCCATGTGACTCAGGCTCGAGAGGTTTTCACCTGCATTAAGTAACTCAAAAATCTAGAAAAGAGGGAGACTGGTTGAATTGGAAAGATTTTAAGTGTGGATTATAAGTAAAGGATTATGTATATTAGTATGTGTGGGATATGTATTTGTTTTTAAAACATGCAGAAATGGATGAATTTATAACGGTGTACACAAAAACGTGCTTACCAAATGAGCAGCAGTAATAAATACAGACTGGGGGCGACTTTCCAGAGACAAGGAGAATTTCCTCTGGTGCCCGAGAGGTTACCTAGCTTCACCACCTCAGAACTGTGTGTGCAGGGAAGGGGGATGATTGTTTTGTTTCAAACTTCACACTCTTGTTGTCAACAATTTTTTTCTGAAGACTGTGAATACTTAATAGTATAAAACATGTTTTTAGCCATCTACTGTCTTTCACCTAGAATTCCTGCATCTCAAAAAGTAATCTGCCAAGTGACTATTCCCTTTTTTAAGCTCTAATCATTAAGACAAGTAAGATATTAAAACTACAGGTGCTTCTAAATTACCCAGGAATAAGTTTCTTTTTCCATGTTTAATAACTCAAATGACTCAAATAGTAATTTGCCTAGAAAATAAAAGAAAATAATAAAATTAACACACACCTGAGCCTGATAACATATGGCATCTTGAAAACAGAAACTTGATCTGAGCCTCAATCCAACAATCACTGATTAAACAGCCATGATGTTACTATTCTCTATTTTATACCATGCTTCTAGCCAAGGTTGCCACCCACAGACTATCTAAGTATAACTCCATCCAATTAATTATAAATTCACAGTCTAGTTAACTCAAAACATGCTTAGTAACAGTTTAAATGAGCAGGAATAGCAATTTCTGGCAAAGGGACAATATCTCAAACTACCATAACCAACTTCACAGTGACTGTCCATCAATACTGCTACGTAACTTCCAATTTCACGAAGGAACTAAAGGTGTTTAGCTCAGGTGTACAGGAAGCACAACTCCCTCCTACAGAACAACTGCACCAAAGTCATTCCACTTGCTGATGTTACTATTCCTTCTGATGTATTACCTGTGTCAAGCATTTACGTTACACCACATTAAGCATAGCATTGAGAGGAAGGCTTAGGGGCTAGTTTTGTTTGGGGTTTTTTGTTTTTTTACTTAATGACCCACAAGAAAACAAATGTAGTCCCTATAAAGATATGCCTTACACTTCAGGAAGGTTCTTGTCAAAACAGGAAGATAAAAAAAAAAACACGAGTGAGGGGAAGACAAGAACTCACATTAAAAGACTGGACTGGGGGCTTACTAAAGCCTCACTTGTTCACAAACATTACTGGCACATCTCCGAGGGCTGTAACAGCCATTTCTTTTGTACCATAGCTTATTCACTCACAGCAAGTACATTTTAATAGCTTAATTAAAATATACTGTTTATTAGCATGAATTACAAGACAACTTGTTTCAAAGTTATCACACCCTGAAGACCTTTACACATTAGCCAGGTATGCACACTAGCCATTCAGTGACAGACTATCTTTACAACAAAGCATGGTTAGCACCCTCACCCCTCCAGCACAGAGTTCTCAGCCTTTCCCACTCCATAACCACATGGAATGAAAAAAGCTGAGAACCTCCATCACGATACTAAGCAAGAGACTAGTACAGCCCATACAGAAACTACACTTCAACATCTACACAGGTGTCATCAGGAGGTGACTTCACCACAACGGGTGAGGGAGGTGCACATCAGTGCCATCAAACAAAGCACAGACTGCACCAGCAGCTGCTGGGGTTTGCTAACCTGAGCATGCTGGTTTCTAACTGGAGTTGGCCGTTCACAGCTCATCTGGTTGTTTGGGTTGTACAGAACACCACTCCAGTTCAAAGCAACACTTCCAACAAAAACCAGCTCTGTTCTGACAAATTTACCCTCCAAGAATTTTTCGCATCTTTCCCTGTGAAAGCAGGGAGTGTTGCTTTTTTTGACAAAATCAGTAAGTCGAGCGTTAGTGGGAGGCTCAAATATTATTCCAACAGTGTTCGTATCTAGACAGACAAACC